AAACTATGGTCAGGGGAGAGGGGGAGGAGTAAAAGACAGAGCAGGCAACAAACACAGGCTGACAGTTTCAATTTTCACTTACAGCTCACTTTCCCCAGGATTGATATCCTTCTCCTTTCTGCTGAAGAGACCACCTTTGCAGCCATAAATCAGTCCTATACTGAGTTGGCAAAGCTCACTGCTTTAACCCTTGGGGGGGGGGGGAAGATTTGGGTTGGAATGGACATCAGAAGATTGCAGATCCAGCAAAGGAGATAGATTTGCAGGCTCATACATTGGATGGATAGATAGGTAAATAGATGAGAGAGAGTGAGAGAGAGAGCACTGAGGCTTCCAATTACTCATCTATCTGAACGGGATAAAGCCCATTGCAATCACTGAGAGAGAAGGGTCTGGTTGTCTTTAGCACAAGGCAATAAGGCCAATGTGGTGTACTGGTTAGCATTGGGCTAGGAGTCCGAAAACGAAGGTTCAAGTCCCCAACCAGCCATTGAAACCCACTGGTTGAGTGTCGGCAAGCCACGTTCTGTTAGTTCTAGAAGGAGGCAATGATAAATCTTCTTTGTAAAAATCTTGACTATGAAGTTCTGTGATAGGGTCACCATGAGCTGGAGTCAACCTGAAGACACATCATAACAGCCCAAGCACAAAGTGAACCCTAGGAATGGACAAGGAATATGCTGGGTTTGCCCTCGACTTGCACTTCTTGGAACCAAGTACAGAGCCAAAGACAAAATGAAACTTTTACATTTTTGAGATTGTAATATAAATCTCAAACACACACACACAGACACACATATCAAGCAGTGTTTGGGAAAATGTAGGTAGGAAAATGTGCACACCTTACATAAGTTAATTCACTTAGAAGCATAGCACTGGAAGGGACCACTAGGGCCATCTATTCCAACCCCCAGCCATGCAGGAATACAGAACCAAAGCACTCCAGAGAGTGTTTTATTTGTCTCATGAATTTCAAGAACTATTCTAATGATTACTTCTCAAAGCTTCCTTGAAGCTGATACTGAAATCCAAAGTCTGGATTCACCCCATTAGGTAGGATCCCACCTTAATTAAGATAGCCAGGATTATTTGTCCCATTGATGTCAAATGATTACATTAAGCCTGGATCCAATGGAGGAAAAGGAGGAGGTGGGAGAAGAAGTGGAATATGATGAGGATTTCAGGAAGGTAAAGAGAAGATGAGCTACACAAAGCTTAATATTCTCCCTGAGGTGGTTGTAGATATGTGATATTCTATCAGAGAATGAACAAAGGGTTACCTGTGGAGTTCTGATTTAATTAAAGATAATAAGCATGAATTCACAAAAGGAAGCTAGGACTAGTGAATAAGTACCAAATGGTTTGAGGGAGCAATGGATGGAAAAACTTGATGACAAGGAGAGTCATTGTTCATACTGGCTTTGTGAACACGCCAATGAATAGGACTCATGCGAAGCATGCTTTGCATAATCTCCCATATCACTAAGTTCAGAACGTGGAACAGAAGGGAGTGTGGATGACATTAAGCAAAGTGAGAGGAAGGTGACACCTGGGTTGTGTTTTGCTTTTAAGCAGGGGGTTAATGCTAGGCTTATAGATAAGATTCCTTTACTATTGCTCCTCTTCCTTGTCTAAAATTATCTAAATCACTCTCATCATTACCACCAGCATCATAATATAATCCAGGGGTAGGCAACCTGTCCCCTTTAAGGGCTGAGGGACTTCAGCTCCCAGAAGCCTCAGCCATGTTGGCCAATAGTCCCATGTTGGCCAATAGCTCCTGGGATTCTGGGAGCTGAAGTCCCTTGGCCCTTAAAGGGGAAAGGTTGCCTACCCCTGGTGTAATCTAATAATATTTTGTGGGAGGATGTAACTTTCCCCCACAGGAAAAAAATAGATTAGATTATGATGCTGGTGGTAGTGATGGTGGTGCAAACTAGGGGCAGTTGGTAGCTGTGTTTCTATGGAGCAGTGAATTGACTTTCAGTTTCACAGCTGCTTGTCTGGCCTTTAATGGCACTATCTGAGTGCTGGAACTATATCTGGAATAGAATTCAGCACTTGGACAGCTCTCCATAATGTCAGCTGCCTTGATAGAAACCTTGATGTTCCCCATAGCTTCTGGCTTGACCCACTTCTGTATGGTGTGGAGGTGCCATTTTGTGCACATATGCAATTATGCCTACCCTTAGAACAACAGAAATGGAGCTAGACAAAACCTTTGGACCTTTTTTTTCTGTAGAATGTGTTTTCTAACAGAAAGAACATACAGCATGCTTCTGTTCTGAAGCAAAGACTTGGAAGAACTGAGCTTTATTGCGTTCTCTTTCAGAAGGGTTTGTGACAAAGCAATCATGACTCAAAGTCTTC